AAAAAAAAAAAAAAAAAAAAAAACAACGTACACTGAATGTCAGGAGAGGTAGTAGATTCGAAGCACAATGCATAGAGGAGTGGGCGCGTGTGTGCGTGTGAGTGATGATATGATTCGTAACGAAAAAGAGGTTATACAGAGAGCGAAAAAGCGGGTTATAATAAAGTTTGCATATTTGTTTGAGAGAGTGAAAGATACTTACTTACGTAGAGAGAGAAAGTTGGGGAAGGGTGAGGCAGACAAAGGACCCCTGGCCGTACGATTGGAGAAACGAGAAGATCGCAGCCGTCGGATCAGAGTAATGAATGATGAATGGAATCAGAGGAAGAAGAAGATAAGTGTTTGTGTGATCTTTCTCTTTCCGCTGCTATGCTAATGAATGGAGAAATTTTATATTTATAGAGATGTGGGTGTCACAGGAAAACAAGGGCAAAAACGGGATATTCACGTATTCTTAATCCCTCTCTCTCTCTCTCTCTATCTCTATCTCTATGAGGGTGGTGGGTGGGTGAGTGAATGAATGAGTGAAACTGTGGTGGCTTCTTCTCTCCTTTTGAGCAGAGTCTGCAACAGCGGCGAAAAGGCGATGAGAGAAAAAAAAAAATTAAAAAGAAAAAGAGAGAGAGAGAGAGAGAGAGAGTACGACGGTCAAAGATAGATTTGAAGATGTTTTAGATACGCACGATGACGATGATCATGAATCATGGACCAAAAAGTTGTCAACATTTTTGTTACAATAATGTCCCTCCTCTTTCCCACTAATTACCATTTCCCCCTGTTGTTGAAATTACCCTTATGCCCTTTTTTTGCAATCTTTAATTGGAGTGAGGACAATTAGTGTTGTTTGATGTAGCACAGTACAAGTAGGGTGAGTAAATTAGAGTGTGGTGAAGCTAGCTACCACAAAATATCGTAATCGATTATGCTCTCGAGATTCCCTTCTTAATTTTCATGCCATCAATCATCGAGTAGCTATAAAACACAAAAATACAATGTGGGGGTAAAGCCCAATTGCATCCTACAAGAGCATACAACAAAATTAATTAAACCCCTTCCCCACACAACACACCCTTACGCCATCATTCTATGTCTACTTTTGGTAAAAACATACGACATCCCTTCTCATCAAAATACTATTACTTATCTTATTTATTATATTATATTATATCTTATTTCTTTTCATTCTGTCATTTAAAACAAATTATCACCTTCATTCAGGAAACCTTTTAATGTTTATCATATCAAAGATTTGGAAATTATTTTTTTTTAATTTATAGTAAAAATAGGGCATCAATGATTTATCAAAATATTAATTTTACTATTTATCAATGACCAGAATAATTTATTATTTGTTGTGCGCAATTTGTATTTACAATTTAAATTACTCTATAAACTACTTAAACTTCTCAATTAACTACCCACCACTCATATTCTCTTTTATTTTTAATTGTTTACTTTTTTTTAATGACACAGAAGCAAGTCTTTGACACCACAAACTTTCTTATAATAAATATATTATTTTTAGAGAAGTTAAATAATATTAAAATGTACTTTATGAACAAAAAAAACTCAGGGATCCTAATTAAGAATAACAGCTATGTGGCAACTACCAAATATCACTTTAATGAAATAAAAAGGAAAGAGAATGTATATAATAAATACGAAGGGACGATATTTTCGGGGTAATATAACGTGTCAGTGACGATATTTTTGTGGGATACGAAGTGACCTCGTGTTTAATTATATTGATGTCTTTACGAAAATGTAGGCAGCAAATTATATTTCCAAGTGAGGTATACATTGCAAAAAAATTGTTTGTTAGTGGAAAAAGCATGCAACAATTTAGTGACTGGACTGATCTTTAATAAGATAGAAAATAATGACATCTATCACAATCGGGCAACTAATCGTACACATCTTAAACACTTTCTGTCATTTTGCATAAATGTTTCTCATTTTTACACTTTCTTGTTTTAAGATTTTCTTCTTTTTTTTTCATTCAACTGCGTGTGAGGTTCATGTCAATCGCTTTTTTGGTTTTTCAACTTATCACTGTGATTTATTGTCCATAACTGTTGTTAAATATATAAAATGCATTTTCAAGCCAAACAGATAAACAGATAACAAGTACGTGTGACGAGTTTCACACGGTATTATTAATAGGAAACGTGTATTGTTAATACAAAATGCATAAATATATTTCTAGAACTCACGTTAACATACAAAATTATTATTAATAATAATAAATATTAACGTTTTACTCAACAAAAGAAATTCTATTCTTAATTTTACGCTAGACCAATAATTAAAGTGCCTTTCGTGGAAGGGTTTCTGGCATAACCGATTGTTTGAAAGTTGAAGATAGAAATTGACCATTGATGTTGTTTTGGCAAAGTAATGGTAGAAAGTAGAAAGAACTATCTAGGATGGTTGGATGTCATTTTATTTTATCTTATCTTTTGTTAAATAAAAGTGGCTGTCGACATCATTTCCCTTTTTTCTTTTTCATCATAGCTATAGCAATTCTTAACTGGAAATTAGACATTATTATGCTTTTATAAGAATATTCGGACCATTCAAGCACAATTTTTTTCCTACCTAATACGAAAACACATAAATAACTACTATAATGTGTAGAATTTGATCCCAGGCCCAACTTTTACATCTTGTTTTCTCCCTTTCCTTTTTCAACGTGGGATTAAAAACAAGTTAATAAAATAACGGTCATGTGAACAATAAAATGTTTTATCTTTTGTTGTATTAATTTTGGTTGAATTGTTAAAATGAATTAGAACTTTTAATATAATTTGATACATTGCAAATTTGAGTTAAGTAGGTGCAAAAAATTACCTAATTTTAGTTATAATAAAATTTTTGTCTAATTCACTTGTAACCTATGAGTCAATTTAATTTATGACTTAACTCACCTAAATTTTTATTTTATTTTTTCTAAGCATTAGTTTATATGTAATTATACATTTATTTTATTGATTAAATTTTAAGCATATTAGTCATAAATTATGATAATTAGTGTTGATTTGAAATTATTTATTAATATTTTATGTAAATTCTTTGATATTAATAAATGGTATAAGTTAGTTGTGGTTGAGACCTACTTTTTCTTGACATTTTTTTGTCTAGTTATTAATATAGTTGTAATTTTAAGATATAAAAATATAAGAAGTATTTTTTATAAAGTTTAATTAATTTTTTTAATTAAAATGAGTTAACATATTTAATCTACCAATATGCGATGGATCAAGTTGGGTTAGTTTTTTTAGGCTCACAAGAAAATGAGATGAATTGGTTGATCCACTTATTGTTCTTATTGTTCAATTCATTGTAAACTGAATTAGACTAGGTGACCCACTTTATCAACTTTAAACTTTTGGAGTTTAATTTTGATTCATTATTATTTTAATATTTTTTTTTTTGTGTTTTGAAATTTATATTTGTTGAGATATTGTAGTCAATGAGTATGATAAAATCTCTAAGAATATAAAGTGTAAAATTTATTTAGTAATATTATATATTGTCTTTTTTTATAAAAAGCAAGTTATAGTATATTTAATATATAACGGTCAAGATTTCTTTTATGATATATGTCACATGTTATTCTCCATTTTTTTGCACTTCCTCTTATTTAAAAGAGAAGTGTATTTTGCATGAGTCCCACTTCCATTTCTACACAATTATGCACACTTCCTTCTAACCAAATAGCACTAACTTTACAATTTTCTCATACTTCTCTTATTTTATGTTCTTTTCTCCCCTATTTACCTGTTATCAAACTCACCGTTAGAGATACTTGTAGTGTGTTTAATTCCATTTTTAGACAAAAAAAGTTGTTCAAATCAAACTGTTCAGCTTGGATTAATTTGACAGTTTTTTTAAATTTTAATTTATTTTCATATAGCTTTCAAGTTTATTTTTCAATTCCATTTCAAGCAAAATAAATTGCCTCATAAAAGTGATGCTGGCTATAAGTTTCTTCAAAGAACAAAAAATAAGAATTAAGTAATATACTATAATATATGAATCTTCAGTTGTACAAAAATAGTCAAATTTTTTTGTCTACAATAGTTACAGCATTTTCACTTGTTAGTTAAAATTTATTTTTCACTTTTTGGTTCAAAATTAAAAGAGTTATGGCTTACAGAATTTTAATGATTTTTCATTTACTAAGGTAAGAACGACAAACATAATGCCCGAATATGTCATGATTTTAATAATGAATACTCAATTTAACTTGAAAAATGTATAAATATGAGTAATACTTTATTAAATTAAGTACAAGAATAAAAATAGGTATATACTTATCTGCTCTTGTACCTATCTCGTATTTGTTTTTATTTTAATTTTTTAGAAATTTAATTTACTTTTCTTAAAATTTATTTGAGATTTTATATAATTCTCAGTCAATTCTGAATTTATGTTAGATGAAATTAATATGATTTTGTAATTGAAATTCTATGTAAAAAATTTATTTTTTATATATATATTTTTAAAATAATTAATTTTTAAACAAATATAACAAAAATAAAAATGAAGATATAAATTTTATATCAGTCAAACATGAGAACAAAAATAAATATAGGATAAGAATTTAGGGACGGGGACATATAAATGTTGAAACTTGCACCTACCTTATTGCTATCTCTATTAATATTATTCAAGTGTTTTTACAAACAAAAAAAATTAAACCTTTTTTATCATGAAAAAAAAAAAAGAGTTATAACTAGAATAACAGGCCCCATCGTCTCTTCTTTTCAAATTACTATATTCTTCTTACTCCTTAGTAGTTGTTTTTGGAATAAGAGTGTTGAGTAGGTCAAATTTATCTTTATTTATATATTATCTAAATTAGACTATTTTTAAGACACTAACTCAATCTAATTAATATATGAAATATGAGATATTATAATATTATATTATTTTTAACAAAACTTGAATTATAAAATAAAAAAAAATTCAAAACTTAAATTAATATATATTTTATAATACATAACTTAAAATACATCATTTAATTATAAATATAATATTTTTATAAAATAGTTAATCACTCAATAATTTTTTATTATCAACACAAAATAATTCAAAAAAAAAATCTTATACCTTTTAATAAAATATTAGATATTAAGTTACTTGAAATATAATTTGAACATGTTTTGAAAATAAAATAAGTCAAATTTTAAAATTTAAACTCTTTCAAATCAATTTTAAGTTAAACTGATTAGCGAGTCAAGTTGGATCATACTCATCCCTTACTTAAATCTTATATAAATTTATTGTAATTTTCAATTTATTTATTCTATTACACTTTGAATTAGATTTTTAGTTTACTTTACCAAAAAAAAGATTTTTAGTTTGCGCATTTTATAAGATGATATTCCCTTTTATATATTAAGTACGAACGATTATTTTGCATAATAATATTTTTAAGATTTTTTTTTTTTGTGATAAGACTTTATGAATTTTTTTTTAACTTTTTAACTGATTTAATTTTTATTTATTATAATTATTTATGAATTAAATTTTGATATTTTAAAATAAATTATCAATAAATAAAAATAATCTTATATTAAAATATATATTATTTATAAATATATTTTAAAATAGTTATTTATATTAATT